GTGGGAGTCGGACAGCGCGCGCGGGATGAAATTTGGACATTTTTTTTTGAAAAACCATTGGGTTTTTGATGTTTTTATGTTGAAATCGCTACGAAACCTAAGGTTCTGGAAGGATTTCGTCTTGCGCGCGCGAATGTCCACTTACCTTATTTTTTGCAAGGGATTATTGAAATTTGATTATGTTAGAACAAGAAAAAGTAGCTCGCGCGAGCTCATGTAACATAAATGTTGAAAAACCATTGGTTTTGTGGGATTCGGACAGCGCGCGCGGAAGGACATTTTGACAATTTTTTCTTAAAAAACCATTGGGTTTTTGATGTTTTTATGTTAAAATCGCTACGAAACCTAAGGTTTTGGAAGGATTTCGTCTTGCGCGCACGAATGTCCACTTTACCTTATTTTTTGCAAGGGATTCTTGCAATTTGATCAAGTAAAAACAAGAATTTTCATTTTCTATTGTTTTTTGCAAGGGAAAACGAGCGTCAACAAAAAACCGGATCCGGAGCTCATCCACTTTTCTGAAGCTTTCGCGAAAAAAATGATGAAAATGTAGCTGCGGCCTAGGCGCGGCGCAGAGGTCGCGCACCAGGGGTCCCAACAATAATAATTCTTTAGAAGGAATAATGTTCAACAACAACAACAACAACAACAACAACAACAACAACAACAACACAACACAACAACAACAACAACAACAACAACAACAACAACAACAACAACAACAAACAAACAACAACAATAACATAATCTGAAACAACAGTGACTGTCGCTCTTCCTTGCCCGCGTGTCATTCAAAACGAGTTCCCCACACCCTCGATACCCGCCCTTTTTGTCTTCGATCACACCCCCTTTGGGGGGATTATTTCTCTTTGCGGGGGGCGGCGGGCTTAGACAGGCGGGCAAACCTGAACGGGCGGACAATCCTTCGTGGGCGCACATGTGCCCGCCATTGGAATTGGTGTGGGCCCTGCAAAAGAGGAGGGGGAGAACGAGGGAGAGTGGGAGGAAGGGAGGGGGAGGGACGAAGGAAGAGGGAAAACGCCAGGAGAGAAGGAGCGAAGAGGGGGGCGGTTGATTAGAGGCAGAGAGAGAGAGAGAGAAAGACAGATAAGAGAGGTAGAGAAAGAGAGAGAGAGAGGGGAGAGAGAGAGAGAGAAAGGAAAGAGGGAGGGAGGAGGCAGGAGAGGGGAGGGAGAAGGGAGGAGGGAGAGGAGGGAGAGGGGATAGGGCAGAGAGGCATAAGGATGAGGGAAGAGAGGAGGGAGAGAGAAGGGAGGAGAGGAGGGAGGAGGGAGGAGGGAGGAGGGAGAGGGAGGAGGAGCAGGAAGGTAAGAGCGTGAACGTTCGAGGAAGTCCTAGGCGAAAGCGCCGTTCCTGAAGGAAGTCTCGGGCGGGAGCCCACGTCGGGCGGGCGATCCCCTGACGGGCGGTTTGGGCAGGTGGGACATTCACGCGGGATGCCAGCGTATGGCGAGAGCGCAATTACTAAGTAAATTGTAACGGCGTCCTTGGCGCAGCGTGTGTCCTGAGCGTCGAAAGCGCGATTTCTGAATACATTGCATGGAAGTCACAGGCCAGAGCGCAATTCCTGAATAAAATGTGAAGGGTTCTCTGGCGGGTGCGGGGGTCTTGATTAAATTGCGAGGAAGTGCGAGGAAGTCTCAAGCGGGAGCGCCGTTCATGAGTAAATTGTGAAGAAGTCTCAGACGGGAGCGGGGGCCCTGACTAAATTGCGAGGAAGTCACAGGCGGGAGCACCGATCCTGAGTAAATTGTGACGAAGTCTTAGGAGCGGGGGGCCTGAGTAAATTTGGAGGAAATCTCAGGCGGGAGCCGTTGTTGTTGTAATCCGGGGGGCCAGGGGCCCAGTTTGAGCACCAAGACTTGCCCTGCCAAAAAACAGTGTGCGAGCGTCGAGGGGCACATTTTGATTGAGAAAAACAGTATGCACTGGTGAGGGGAATCAAAAATAGTCATTCTTCCAACAACAACAACAACAACAACAACAACAACAACAACAACAACAACAACAACAACAATCATTTAAGACTGGGGACACTCCGTTCTCACCATTGCCAGGGTTTTCATAGGAGGCGGGCAATACCCCCACTTTGTGGGGGGGCCGGTTCAAGCTCTACCAAGTTTCCAAACGACTCTTCGCCACCACCCACACCCAGCTTCCCGCCCTATGACGTTCGGACACTTCACTTCGTGGCCTGCGGACGACCTTGGCTACTACACTGGCGCATGGGTACAGTGACTTGTTGTGGTAACATCTTGTGGAAGCTAGCTTAGTATACGACTTTTCCCCCTGTTCCAACGCTGGACACATAGCCCTTCTCGCCGTTTGACAGAAATGTTGAAAAAGTATTGGGTTTCCTAAGAAATCCGCAAGAGCGCGCGGGGTGAATTTTTGAAACCCTTGTTTTGAAAAACCATTGGGTTTTTCATGTTTTTATGTGAAAATCGCTACGAAGACTAAGGTTTTGGAAGGATTTCGTCTTGCGCGCGCGAATGTGCACTTCGTGTCATTTTTTGCAAGGGATTCTTGAAGTTTGGTCATGTTAGAACAAGAAATGTCCACTTTGCCTTATTTTTTTGCAAGGGAAACCGATCGTAATAACACAAAACGGATCTGGTATGTACCCACGTTTTGCCTGAGACTTCCTCACGAAAATGATGAAAATGTGGCTGCGGCCTAGGCGCGGCGAGGGGGCCGCGCACCAGGGGTCCCAACAATAATTACTCTTTAGAATTAATAATGTTCAACAACAACAACAACAACAACAACAACAACAACAACAACAACAACAACAACATTTATCATCATCATCATCATCATCATCATATCATCATCATCATCATCATCATCATCATCATCATCATCATCTCATCATCTCATCGTCATCATCATCATCATCAGCATCAGCATCAGCATCAGCATCAGCATCAGCATCAGCATCATCATCATCCCACCACCACCACCACAACCACCACCACCACCACCACCATCATCATCATCATCATCATCATCATCATCGTCATCATCATCGTCATCATCACCACCATCGGCATCATCATCATCAGCAGCATCATCATCTGCATCATCATCATCGTCATCATCATCATCATCATCATCATCATCATCGTCATCATCATCGTCATCATCACCACCATCGGCATCATCATCATCAGCAGCATCATCATCTGCATCATCATCATCATCGTCATCATCATCATCATCATCGTCATCATCACCACCATCAGCATCATCATCATCGTCATCATCATAATCTGCATCATCAGCATAATCAGCATCATCATGACCATCAGCATCATCATCATAATCAGCATCCCCATCGTCATCATCACAACCACCGTCATCATCATCGTTATCAGCATCATCATCATCATCAGCAGCAGCATCATCAGCAGCATCATCATTTTCATCATCATCACCACCACCATCAGCATCATCACCAGCAGCAGCAACATCATGACAACAGATTCACGGATAGAGGACTGGTTGATTTCAAAATGTGGTTATCGCCTCAGCGCCGCGCACATTAATTCGAAAAATTCGTAAGAACTTCAAAGAGTGAGGGCGGGGGGGTCGAAATGTGGTTCCCGCCTTCGCATCGTATTAAGAATGCGCAAAAACTTCACGGATTGAGGGTGGCTCGTTTTCAAAATGTGGCTCTCGCCTTAGCGCCGCGCGCACTCTTTCTCAAAATTTGCAATAGTTTCACGGGTTGAGGGCGGTTCCTTTTCAAAATGTTGCTCTCGCCTTAGCGCCGCGCACATTCGTTTCAAAGATGTTCCAGTGCTTTACTGATTCTCATGGTTAACGTGCCAGAAATGGCGTTTTGAAACGATTCAGGATTCAGGGCGATAGAGTTACGTTGATTCGCGGTGTTGAAATCCCAGGAACATCGTTCTGACACACTCAGGATCGCCAAGGCGTAACAGTCAGGTTAAATCGTGGCGTTGACGTCCTGAGAATGTTGTTCTGGCGCGCTTCAGGATGTTCACACGGTTGCCTTCCCAACGGGGCGACTCTCCCTCAGTGGAAATGAACCCGTGCCGGGGCCTACGAGGAAGCTCGGATGGAGGGTGTGTTCCAGCATCGTTGATGAGTCTTGTGTTTACACTGGTCCTCCTCCTCCTCCTCCTCCTGCTCCTCCTCCTCCTGCTCCTCCTCCTCCTTTTACGTTGGACAAACGTTGACTTGCTTGAGCCGTCGAGCCTTTACTCCTCCTACTCCTCCTCCTCCTCCTCCTCCTCCTCCTCCTCCTCCTCCTCCTCCTCCTCCTCCTCCTTCTCCGCCTCCTCCTCCTCCTCCGCCTCCCTCCTCCTCCTCCTCCTCCGCCGCCTCCTCCTCCTCCTCCTCCTCGTCCTCCTCTACCTCGGGCTCCTCCTCCTCATCGTCCTCCTCCTCCTCCTCCTTCTCCGCCTCCTCCTCCTCCTCCTCCTCCCTTTTCCTCCCTCCCCCCCTACCTCTCGCCCGCCCCGGACCACGACGATGACCACAGGCAAGGAAAGACGACAACACCACGACCAGCGGCAGGGGTAGGGCAAGACGTCCCTGAAGGTGGGGCCCTGCGAGGCTCCGCCCGAGACACCTCCAGCCTTCAGCTCGGGGAGGCATCGACCGACCTCCTCGCTGGAAGTGGCCCGCTGGTGGTGGTGGTGCCACCTCTCACTGCACCGACCTTGCAGACGTGCTGCAGCGGATTTTTGCGTGGATTTCTGCCAATGCAAAACCCTACAACGGCGAGTAAAAAACGAAGTGAATTTCGCGAGGATATTTGTTTAGTCTTCATTCCCGGCCAAACAAAAACCGCGCGAAATTCACCTCGAAATCCAGAACGAAATTCTCCAGGACACTCCGGGCCCATCCTATCGTTTTCCGAACGAAATCCGCTCTGCGGTGTTGGCGCCATGACACTTTTCCCCTTCGAAGGGTCGTCGAGGCGGGAGCCGTCTGGCGCCAAGGCGGGCCTCGCAGTTGCCCGCCAGGCAGTGGTAGCCCGTGGACATGAGCAGCTCCGTTGCCTGCAGGGCGTCCACGGGCGAGAAGAGACTGGGACGCGCGAGGACGCACTGCTACGATTAGGTCGGGCATGTCCCCTTACAGGCGGGTTTTGGGCGAAAAGTAAAAACTACCCCCCCCCAAAAAAAAAAACAATACTCAAAAATGATCATCATAACTAGTCCAGACATCGTCCCCCGACTATTACTTGACTATTTTTGGGTACTCTTCCTGTGGAGGGACACGCCCGACTTCATGCTACGAGGCGCCCGCCTCGGAGGCGCACGTCCGTACCAGTTCTATGGCACCCACGCTCCTGCTCCTCCTGATTTCTCGGGCTGCAGATCTGGGGGATGCCAGCCCGTCGATTTTGGATCCCTTGGGGGCCGTTCGCTGTCCCGGCCGCGTGGCCAATAGCGCCACAGCTTGGGCTGGTCTGGAACTGGCAGCAGGGAAAATATCGCTAGACCACCTTAGCCTAAAGGGCTGGTGGGATTAGATTCGGCTACACGCAAGAGTGACCCTGGGTAAGAGTGACCTTTTTAATGCGCGGCTTTGGGGGGGCCGCGGGGGGACCAAACACGAGCGCGCCAGACGCTACCACCGCATCGCGTTCGGCGATCGGGGGACCCCATTTGGCCCGCACCAAAGGTCACTCCGGCGAAAGGTCACTCCTACGTCTAGTCGATAGATGTGAAGGGGCCCTGGGACACACAAAGAAATAGACACAAATAACCGGATTCCCCATATTCTCTCATATTTTGGGGGTTTTTGTCTCCCCCCCCACTTCCCATATGTTTCCACATTTCCCTGGGAATCGACGATGAATTGTGTCTGTCTATGTTTTTTCTCCTCCTGAAGATGGCATGTGCGGCGCTTTGGCCCGGCACCCTCTGCGCAGGCCTCTCACGGCCCACGCGCTGCAGCGCAGCGCTGCCCAGGCGGCACGGCCAGCGAGCGCCCGCCGCCGAGAAGCTGCCGCAAAAGATGTCCGACCGCGCGTCGCCCCCCTTGGGCGACCGACGCACCCACGCGAGCGTTTTCTTCGTCGGCGTTTCGACATTAGGCGGAAGGGGGGGAGGGGGAGGGGGAGGGGGAGGAGGAGGAGGAGGAGGAGGAGGAGGAGGAGGAGGAGGAGGAGGAGGACGGAGGAGGAGGAGGAGGAGGAAGAGGAAGAGGAGAAGGAGGAGTGGGCGGAAGGGGGGGCGGGGAGGGCGGGGGGTCTGGCTCCAGACCTCTGCTTGGCGCGACTGATTGCAACAGTGCGTCCTGTGGGGCAGGGGCCCCACCTGCCCGAAACAGGCGCCCAAAACAGCCAAGATCTATTCCACGAGGTGGGGGGGGGCGATGGGTGCGAGGGCCCGCGACGATCGGCAAAACAACGAATGAGAAGACGATCACCATAGGGTAAATATGGTTGGGTGATGCCGATGTCACGCGCATGAAGCGGTGGGTCGGGTAACTTCTCCCGGCAGGGGCGGACCTGCGGCCCCGTGACATGGGGGGCGAGCACACAGAGATCATCTGGGCACGAAAAACTTCTGCGGCGGAGAAGGGGGTATCCAACAAGCATCTCGGCCCGCATGCGTTTGGCATGTGTATTTCTAGTGCCGTCGGCGCCACCAGGGGGCCACTAAAAGGGGCATCCAACATGTGGGCGTCGGAGCCTGCGCGCGCAATAGAACGTGTGCGGAATGGGGATCCCCAATGCGTCTGGCACGTGCGCGGGCGGCACGTGGCTGCACGTGCTTTCGGCACCACCCGGGCCAAGTGGGGCTT